ACGCTGTGCGTGAATGGGCGTATTAGAATCCCACATTGGCTTGTGATATTTACACGATCCACTTAAATAAGGTGAGGGCAATCCTCCCCTAACAAGCCGATTTTGTTAGGTTGAGTTATGCCCAATATCCTTTCTAATAGCAAGCTAGGCCTGGGTCAACCATGATAGAGGGTCACCCAACATAATGAGAATAGTAACCTAGTGAACAATACATGTGAACAATAATTGGTGAACGGTGAATAATAACTAGTGAACATTGAAAAATAATTGGTGAACATTGATCATAACGGTAACTGTGGTCGCAAAAATTGAATGCTCAACAAACCATTTGATTTGAGGAAAGAGTAGAATCTGATACCAAATTGAGAGTTGATAGATTGGCTGATTCATCTGCTTAATCATATTTATACAATACACAAATCTTATTTAAGGTAAAACTCTAATCATATTACCACGTCAATTCCTAACTAAACAAGGAACGTTGTTCACACAAAAACCTATGCATTCTAATTCTTATTTTAGTTTTGTAACCTTCGCTAGCCTACCAGTTAGCAATTGAATTTCTATGGAAAAATATAACCCCAGTAACTCTTGGATTTTTAGTCTTCTATGGAAAAATATAAAAATTTACAAAATCTGATTTTTAGTCTTCTATGGAAAAATATAACCCAGTAACTCTTGAATTTACCCAAAATTCTTTTCGGTTGTACTACATGTACATAATTCGTTTACATAATGATTTATACAGGGGCGGACCCAGCACCCGGCCAGCCCTGACGGCCGCCCGTGCTGGATCCGCCGGAACAGTTTTTTTTGTTTACAATAAATAAACATTTAAGATTATATATCAGGTAAGTTCCTTATTTAACAATACATTTGTTGTAGCTTAACTGGCAATGACCCTTTTTTTTACATGAGAGGTTTCGAATCCATTTCCTAACAATTTTATTGTGAAATAATTTAAATCCTACATTTTTTTCCAAAACTAAATGAAATAAGGGAGAGATTCGAACTCCTAACCTCAAGATAAAATATTGCACCCTTGCCCATTGTGACACTCATGGAAGTTGCTAATAAATTTACCAAAATAATATATATTACTTTTTAGATGTTTTAATG